TCATGTTAGATTTTTCAAGCTAGAACCACAACACCAACGACATATTATTAATCGGTCGATCTATTCAACCAGTCTCTTGTTGTAACTGCCAACCTATTTTTGCGTAAATTTATATGAAATATACCAAACATTTGATTTTTTTATCGTCCATTAGTGTAATTATTTTGTATTTAAAATGAGGTAAATTGAATTTAATTTGAAGACAATTTCTTTTTAAATATGGAAATAAAAGTATTGTCTTGTAAAAGTAGTGGACTATGTCATTGATAGAGGGTAATTCTGCACCTTAAAATCTAGTCATTTACGCATTTTCCATATTTATGCACATTATGAACCTCTGTTAATATCAAAACATAAATTATTTCTGTTTTCATCACCTTGAAAGCTTATCATTGTGATGCGAGCTTCAAGAACAAAATTGAATGATTTATTTTTGCAACATATCGTACACATTTGTTACAAGGAATATTCAACATGCTTATACCCTTCTGAATGTTTATTTGGATTGTGGCATAAATAATGAGATAGAGAATGTCAAAAAATAAAATACATATTGTACAAAGCACAATTAGATCCGGGTAAACAACGTACGCTTTATCTATGAGAGATTTGTACAAGCATAGCTATAATAATAGTTATATTCATCGAATGTTGAAATAAAGGAAATGCTGCATTTGAAAGCGAAGTCATAAAAAGAAGCACATATAACTGATTTCATTTGGTGGTTTAGTACATTCGATATGCATGTGAATCGAATGCTAACAATGCGGTCGCAAACAGTCTGTGAATAACATTGATGAAAAGCAGCACCATATCCTAATTGAGGGGCAATCTTTTCAAATTGAATTACTTCAAAAAATGTATCACATAAAAAATGTGGTTACCGGTTTTAGCTATAACAAATTGGATCAACCTAGTTATTTGTTTGCAAGACTATGGACTTATGCAACAAAAAGAAAGTTTTATAACATTCACTAAATAGTATTTTTCCTTGAATTAAAGTGAAAATATAAAAATTTACTCAGAGTATTACATTTTAATCCAAAATAGCCAGAATAAATTAATTTAATTATTCCATTCTTAATCTAGTGGTGGTGCAAATGAATTTCAATCCTGAAAGTCAAATTTGTGCCGATAGTCTTATATGTGATAATATGCCAAAAGTATTGATATATGAGAATAATATAATCCAAAATACCCGTGACTAAATTCACAAGATTTTAAAATAGTGACTTAGTCCTAAGCACTTTGTAATTCCAATAGAAAATTTAAATCAAATAATTCCTCTCGATTTATAACAAAATATAACTGATTACACTAAACGTGTCCTAATGTATGGAATGGGTAATTCTTTAACAATAGCATAAATAAAATAAGGGCCCTTTTCATAAAATATTCTTTTACATAACGTTCTTAGTCTTAAGCAAGGTTGAGTGACGTACATAATTTAGTAAAGAACACGTAAACATCCGATAGACAATGCTTGTTTGCCAAAGGAGAATTACAATCTCTTGAACACAGATCTAAGTAATCATGTTTACATTTAGGTAATCATCTAAAAAAAGAATTTTAAAAAATAGACAAAAATTAGATATACAATATGTTATTTACAAAACGACATTAGCCTGGTAGACCAAATTCCTAGCCTCAATGATGTAGAAAGTTTAAGCAAGCAAGTCAGATTAAATATACAAAGCATCTTACTTTAGGATCGAAGGCATGTAATGCATTTAATATTGGCATTGAAGCTCAGTAGTTTTCATTTAGTATGGAAAGAGGTTTAGAAAACCACTTGACTCTCAGGTATTGACATATCATTGTCCAGTGTGTTTGCGATATTTTTCAGAATTTAATTGAATTTAATTTCAATAGCACTGAACATCGTTGACAGTTGTAACCAAGATTAGATCATATCTTTTAAAAGGTCTTTAAAAATACTCTCCGCGACTGGAACAATATTATTGAATGTTTTCATAATGTTCCATTTGATGATGTTGAACCAATCCATGCGTCCAACAGTTTCCATGTTTCTCATTAACGCACAATCAGCAAATTACCTAACAAGTCATTAATTAAAATGAACATTATTCATTAGTTGATGTTTAAGAATGTCGAAGTAGATTATGCTACCCCTATGATTAAGGAATCTTATAAGTTTCCTCATATATGGAGTCCTATCAGGTGGCCATTGAACACGGTGTTCAAATGATGCAACCAGACTGGCATTAGACGTATCGACATCTGCCTTTCATCTGTTATCGGCTTACCTCATCACATTCACCTAGGTTTCGCAATACACCAACAAGAGAACACTTCATTATTGCTTTCACCAACGTAGGCAGCAGTGTACGGGTATTAAATGCAGCTCGATGGGTGTATAGCACAAACGCAACGTATTGTCTACGGGAATGGGAAGGATTATTGTATCCGACTAGTCAGTTATCATTAGCAACAAAGCTCGGTTGGGCGTATAATTGCTTACGACTCTATTATCATAAACCAAGTTTACAGATAGAAGCAAAACCATGAAGTCTTGTACAAATTAACAAACAATTTAATTTTTAAAGTTATTAAACGTATAGTATTACGAATAGGATCCAAAATACTTCAAAAGGTGTTATTCAGGTCCAAAAGAATCGAACGTTCAGAATAAATTGGCAGCTACTTGAATATACAGTTTTCCCAACTGTTTAGATCTGTCATATTGGTCTTGATTCAGAACTTATTTGAATAATTCACAATAGTCCCATAATGATATTTAATTCCAAAAATGTTTCGTCTCAAATAATTATTAAAATAATATATAAACTGTGTCTGCCAACTCAGTGTGACAACTAAAGCACAAGAAAAAAGAATGAAACATTCTCCAGTCCTAACCATTTGTATACGAGTGCAATGTGTGAAAACCGTATTTGGCTTCTCCTTCTACGAGGCAAATCTCCCACATTGCAATAGAAGCCACTTAATCTAACCCATCCAATTGGAAATAAATTTAATTTTTCTAGGCTACCACCTGACCGACTCATCCAGTGAGTAACTTGCTAATAGATTTAATCGTTAATATTACCGTTATCAATCGTAAACACCTACGTAAGCAATTATTTATATATCCTACCCAATCTTACTCCGTTAATATCTTTAAACTCAATTTATACCTTATACAAATTTTAGTTACAGAAAAACACAATTTACAGTCATGAGTAAAACAATTAAAAAAGTATAGATATGTACAACACTTCACATATCATCTATTACAGGCTTCTTTCGAGTCATTCGTTGTATGCTCCAGCTGAATAAGCATTTCCCTGAAGACGAAGACTGTCTCCCTCTATGACGCTTCACATTATATTGTCGACCGTGCACCATAGAGGGGGAAACTTTCCTCATTGGCAACTTAAATAAAAGAGTCTAATAAGTCTACATATAGCGACCATCACTGTCGGCAAAATTAACAAACGGACATAGGTTTTTTCGAACAGTGGGTTCAAAACTGTACATCATGGAAACATTCTTAAAGAGCAAATAACCGCGCAAGGTATCACGACTTCACACAAGATTTGTTTATTAGTCTATATTTTGAACTAGTTATTACTGAACTTGCACCTATAATAGAGCACTAACTCCTTTTTTGGGCCAAGTAGGACTCAACAGAAAGATTGCCTCGAGACACACGCAGCCAAAATGCTGCCAGTGAAGGACGCATAATATAGAAAAAAAACCCTTCAAATAGTGCGGTGCACAGGAGAGCCAGGCATAGCGCAAATCAGTGCTTTGCCTGTCTTTGAAGGAAAAAAATGAATATAGAACGAAAACATCATGCCATGTACAAATGGATTAAAACTATCACTTGTCCATATTATCACTAAAGTTGCCCCATAAAGTCACTGAATAGCAACGTGATCATCGGCAGGAGAAAGCAGTCTGGCTCAGCTAAACACCACCGTGAGATATACTCTCGGGAGACGGACATATTTCAGCTAACTGGTGTCGCACTGCCAGATTTAATACGTAAGTGCTTGGTGTGGTACCAAAACTGCTTGAGAGCAGTCACGCCTTTTATTTCTTGAGAAGCAGAAAGGATGAAATTCAAGGCTAAAGGGTAGATAGTACTTCTAGCTACCACATCTCTATGATCTCCTTCTTCTGGGTTGGAAGGATGGAATAAGCAGTTCCACAGGATATGTCAGCAGCATCACGCAATGCATGAATAAAAGGGACTTTGTAGACTGCAACATTTACCAAGCATTTCAGGCTTCAGCATTATATGGAAAACGTTTACAAGAGTCGGTCGTCCTGACGAGACTCCAAAATTCACGAGATTGAGTGTTTACAGAGAGGCCGTGTGAATTCAGATCAGGCAGATCACCAATGGATCAACATCAGAAAGAAATCAGCATTATTTTTCGTGGCCTCACCGAGGCTTTTGTTCCGGTAAATAGGAAGGAACACTTCAATATACTCGAAAATAGAGTCTACTCCCTGTAATTCTTTAGGATGATGCGTTCATTGTATTATAACTTCATCTGCACCATATAGTTTTAGGGACCCGTGTAATACATTATCGAGATCAAGTGTGGAGTGTATAAGCATTGCGAACTGGTGTCAACACTCTTTTATATCTCTTTTCGTTACTCACTATTTATGTTTTCAACCCGGAAATGAAAATCATGAACAAGTGGTTAGATGCACAATTGATACCAAGATACGATACACCTTAATTGGAGAACGAATAAACTCCATAACGATATAGCCTATCAGTCTGATGCATACTGTACATTCCTCCACAGTGCCAGCCAATGAACCATTCATCCGGGCACTACTAAAACAGAGGGAGCTGAAAGATGAATGAATCGCAAATTAACTGCTTGGCAGAATGTAGAAGATAGTTCTGAAGATGTCTATAATCGTAATATAAATGATCGTTATATCGGCATCAAATAATGGGAGCCGCTAGCATGCATTGAGTAAGATGGTAGTACCATTTTTGTAAGTCTCTGGCATGACTCAGCTGGGGATTGGACCCATGACCTCCCGCATCCGAGGCGAACGATCTAACCACTAGGCAACCGGAGCGGTCGACCTGAAGGCGGTTTGAGTAAATAATTCAAAATTAGCCTTTTAAATACCGACATAATTATCGCTAACGACAACACTAAATTAGAATATCTAAAATATTACCATTTCATAGAATGGTTTATACATAATCATTATGTACTTTTATTACTTACCCCTATCAACCATAACGTATTCTCTGTATCGTTATAAATTAATTAGTTTAAGATCACTAAGTTTTCAGAGCAACACAGATAACACTATTTTTATGAATATTTAATTAAATTGTTTGTTTGTTAGTTTTACATTTTGCATTCGTCTACATGCTTTTGTAGACTTTGATTACTGATTTTGACCTTGTCCATAATTTAGTTCAGATCTGTTTGACCTGACTGCTATTTTTCAATTTCATTGATAAGCAACTAATAATAGAAGCATTGTATCTAGTTGCTAAACTCGTTTCCGAATCAGTGACAGTTTTGATGAAAAACATTTTAAATAGATTTTTTTAAACATTATTTCTCAGAGTAAGATTCATTAAGTCAATGCCATATCTGGAGTACGTGATATGAAATATGTGTTTATTGTTACAAACGTTTTTTTTCTAGAAGACTGACTCATCCGGCAATCTGTTTTTCATCTTAAATTAGTGTATAACTGTTGTCGTAAAAGAAGTTGGTTACTTTTTATTGAATTTCAAATGATTATTTTCTTTGGAAATACATGTATGCTTCTCAAATTATTGGATAAAGATATTAAATAAATTATACGGGATTCAGAACTGGAATAATATTTCCTGTGATTCAACACAGAACTGTAGACGCAACAGCACTTTAAAGGTTAAAAAGATTCCATCTTCTATTTGGTTTTCACCGTGATTAGAACTTAGTTTCATTCATTACTTCTATTTTTAATTCTCGGAATATATTTTTTATTTGATTAGTAAAACGGTAAGTTCTTTTCTCTTTATTTTTCACTTTGTATTCTAAGGAAATAAATTATTTTTTTTTATAATTATCAAAGCTTGTTGTCTTCACTCTTTTCTGTTACATATTTCAAGATCATAGACTGGTAACACTATTAAAACTATTTTCATTTCCATTAAAAAACAAGCTGCAATGACATTATTCATGCAAAATAATATGCCCACAAAATACTTTATGTAAGATCACTTGCTGACCAGTGGCATCTAACAAAATCTGAAAAACAGAACAATGGATATAATCGAATCTCGAAATACACAACACTTTTGCAGAACTCTTCATCCATCGAGAACTTGAGAATAAACAGTTTCGTAAGGAAACAATAGTTGACAACATTAAGATTAAAGATTTCAGCAGGCAGAATGGCAAATCTTGAGAAAGTTTTTAATGGTGACCTAAAGATTTGAGTGCGGAGACATTTTATGCACAATAAAATTAAAAATGTATTGACCTTTTAACCTAAGTTAATTATTATTTACAACAGAACTCATTGTAAATCAATAAGTCAGATCAGTCTATCACAAGTAGCAGTAAAGGATACCACCTGTGCTTGTAGACAGCTAAATCTGACTTTGTTTTCAAAGTATTTTTCAGATATACTCATCCTATGGATGTGAAGCATATAACATAAGAGAGTTTTACTACAGGTACAGCAGTAACTGAAGGCCATCCACTGATTCCATACCCATCTCTAGACATATCAACAGTGACGTGTCACTGGATTAAGACAGGCCTGAACAAGAGAGCCCGTGTGACTATGAAAAACTATTTTGAAATAGACCAGCAGCAATAACAAGTGCCGAAACACCCAGAATGACCAAAGCCAACTTTTATGAAGATCTGGATCTGACGCCATCAGTGCTAGAGTTAGTACAAATTCCCAGACATTGCCGAATCTAACGGTCAAAAATTTCTTTGATAAATTCAGAGATGGTCTACGTCTACTGAAAAAAATCGCGGATTGCGAGTTCCTATAACCAACATACTTTGCGCTTGCCAACCTGCAACCAGTTGAAACTATATTACAAGCACAGGCATATATTTGATTTTGTCATTATCCATAAAAGACATATGCAGAATTTCCCAGTCATGAAGGCTATGCTGAAAGCAAATTGCTATACTCATTATACGTGCACAGTAATCGAGGTCACCACCCAGATTCTGCCTATCATACAAAAGAAAACGTTCCCAAAAACGTTTAATACCTTCAAATTGAAACATGGGATCTCAGATGTGTCAGACACCCTCGGGACATACATTGATTAAGATAAAAGATGATTTGATAAGGCCAATGCTGCCATACTGATGTCTCTGAATGAGAACCATCCGGTTAAGATGGAGTGTTCAGAAAACAATGCCGAAACATCTAAGACGGTTGTCTTCTACAACGACAGAAGGTCCAGTGAAACAACAGAGTACCGTAAAACTCTTTGCTATGCAAATAAGGCTGATAAGATTCAGTTCCCGCAGATATGGATCAGAAGAAGAATTTCTACGATACTTTGGCTACAATCTACGAGCTCGAGTCATCAGAAATATTACTTTAATACTAAGTGCAGATAGTGCCACATTGCACACTGACAATAACATGAACTTCAAGGATTAACAAAAAAACTTCGACAACATCCATAATCAAAATTATACATCACTTCAGAGGCAACTGAAAATGGAAAAAGCAATCGAATTGTTGAAAAATGGTGTAGATGCTATACAAGCAAATATCTAAAAACCTGGAGGTTCTCACTAGACGATTTGCTCACAAGGGACAATACTATCCGAGCACAAGGATGTAACCATGATCCACTTCTACAGCAGGGGAAGTCAAGAAACAAGTCTGCGACAACCATCAAGACTTTTTTTGCTGTTGTTCGACCGAATTATACTTAATAGGCTTCTAGATCACATCGAAAATTCTTTTATGGTTTAGGAATAGACGGAAATGGTGGTTGTATTTCATCAAATCCAGGAGAAATGTGAAAAACAGGACTTTTTCGGTACACCACATTCCTTGATTAGACAAAAGACTTTGACAAGGTCAATAATAGTCTCAGTGGAGGTGTTTTGAATATCAGGGCAATTTGTGATAACCAAATGGAATTGACCTTGATAATTTCAAATTCCATGATAGCATGCTTACTCATATTGTAATGGAAAATCATATGAACCATTCCCATAACCAGTGCAATCAGGAGAAGCTATGTTGGCCCCAGTCCTCCTCATTATTATGTTCTATCCCTTGTTTACTGATGTATTTTCTGCCTAAGACAATGTAAATAGCGTCAGATGCCGCAGAAACGGCAAGTTCTTCAGTCTCGGAACACTACGTGCAAGCACGAAGTTGCAGGACGTTATTAAATTTGGGGTGGGGGTTGAGTCAAAATCATATAATTTTTTTATATTTATAACTACAAAAAAATATTAATGGCTATTTTACCTCTTCTCACGTCGTATCATTATACTGACGGTTCTGTTGTTGTTCCATGACCTGGATTGGTCATTTTGGGTTGTGCCCAAATCATTATTTACTGTTAGTTTATAAAGATCTTGGCGCAAATCACCGAAGTTATCTTCATTATTTCTGAAGTGTGGTGGTCTACAAGCAAAATGTCACAACACTCAAGTATCATCAAACATGAAAACGAAGCCGAGATTCCCGATGATATCATCAGCAGGTCGAGATTATCTAATGGGGACATTCTATCTCGGCGATGAGTTATGCCCAAATCATTTTTTTACTGCTATATAATATCGATCTTGACACAACTCACCAAGGATTTGAAGGACTTGATTCGACGATTTAGGGGTTCTATTGCAGATCATCGACATTGGGGTGGGGCTTGGTGAAATTTTTTGTGCAAATCATCGACATCAGGTTTTTGAGCTGGGGGCTGGACGGTCTCTCTTTCAGGATGATTATTGTGGCCGCGTCGACAAAGTCTGCCTCATGATTTCTACTTCGTCGCTGTATGCATGAACTACATAAATACACCCTTGAGGGCTTAAATGAACGAATTCGTAAGTATTCCTGCTATTAAAAATGTCAGATACCAACATCATTGGGTCCATATTATATATGTGGAACTCATACGTATTTGCAAAGAATAATGTTTGACAATTCAAGAGAAACTGTGTCACACCTTGGCGATGGGGGAGTGGGATGGGGCCTTAACATGCCCTGAGTTCAGTTGGATGTCATGTATTCCAGCAATTAAATTGCAAGAGTTAAAAGGTATCGTAGGTAAACACAACAGCCATTTATCTTAGCAAAACACGATAAAGACGTTATCATCGTCGGAGCCTCTTTAACCAGTCATATCAATCAGCTAGCATAATAAAGTAGTAATCATTAATAATACAGTTCATGATTATGTCAAACTGCATCTGAAGGCTCTTGATGATAAAATTTCATCATTAGGATTAGCAATTGCATCTCATATTATATATCAAACATATATTCGGCTTAATTACTGAAATGCAATTGCATCTCATATTATATATCAAACATATATTATATTCGGTGCATATATTCGGCTTAATTACTGAAATGCAGATTCCTACCTTTTTGTCGAAATAAAGAAATAAACAAAATATACATACAAAAATAGATGGACAATCCTAAAACAAGACATACAAAATAGGCAGACACCCTGGTATATCCTTCTGGATATTGAAATGAATAAAATGTTTACACACCAAAGTCGTGGAGAACGATAATATTGTAAATTATATAAAACGTTCCGTTTGTTAAAAAGTATGTCATGTACCTTGCAGATAAAGTAATAAAGCTGCATATCAAGAATAAATTTTAAAAAAAACTTGAAGTCATAAAACACATTGTATGTTAATTTGCCAAGCATAATATTTAACTCCACATGCAGCCGGAGTTTTTCAGCAGAAACAAACGTTTTTCTCTAATCTGTTATTTCTTATCATAAAACGTGTTTGCTTGTTATTGTATCAACGAAATTTACTTCCCTTCAAATCAAGTTTACTAATAAACACTTCATTTTTTAATATGGAGACATTTAGGAATTTCAAATCG